GGTATGCTTTCGGAACACGAACGTTCTTATGGTTTGGGCGTGGGTGCGCGATAGGTAGTATGCTCTCGGAACACGAACGTTATTATGGTTTGGGCGTGGGTGCATTATTTATCGTATGCTCTGTATGCTCTCGGAACAAGAACATTATTACGGTTTGGGCATGGCTGCGCGATAGTATGCTCTCGGAACACGAACGCTATTATGGTGTGGGCATGGATGCACTTGTTATCGTATGCTCTCAGAACACGAACGTTATTATGGTTTGGGCATGGATGCTTTGGCATTCGCGTTCGCTCTTCTTTGAAAAACGCGATGCGTGGAATACGCAGTATTTCGGGCTCCCGAACACTTCGAATGTGTGGTTCGTGCCACGCAGGCCACATCCGGAGAGGTCGGCCAGGTGTGCATTTTTTGCGCGTTTACGCTCCGGCGGAGCCAATAGCAATAATAATAGTAGTAATAGTAAGCACAGCAGTAATGATAGTAATAAAACTACAGAGCTTGGGACGACACGAAGATATCATTGGTATATAGTCCCCCTCAAGTAGATAAAATATGGGGATCTTATTATAACATGCCCAAAGGCATATTCTGTCTACTTAACTGGGACTATACTTGGGTCCGAGGGCCAGCTGTCATCATCGTGGCTTGATTTGGTAGTTTCTGTAAATAGGGGAACCCCAAAGTACACTTCAAAATGGGTTTAGGGTTTAGGGGTTTGGGCTCCCATTTTGGAATTTGGGCGACCACTCATGAAAAGCCTTGGTCATCTCCTGCGCAGACTTGTCCTGATTGAAGGGCAGCTTCATGTACTTTTGGATGAACTGCTTGTTCAGCGTGTCAGCACCAACAAAGCCTTTACAGCACAACCATGTGGAGGATTCTTGCAAGGACGTGGTGGTGCGGACTTGCGAAGCTGTCACATGCCATCAAGAAGCCATTGAAGGAATGCATCCAACGATTGACATAAGCTTCTTTCCAGCCGTCTGTCCTGAAGGTGTAGCCTGAAGAACAAGGAGCAACCAAGACAGCAACAAATCTGACAATTTGAACAGCTTGGCAAGCGACCGACGCTGCTGGGATCTTCCATGGCGAAGTGCAGATCCATGATCATTGGCAATCCTCTTGCTTTGACTCTTTGCCATTGTGATCTGTTCTCTGTCCACACCTCCGTTAATACTGGCAAGCTCTAACCAGAGTCCGCACATTCCAAGCCCATCAGCACAACGACGCACAAGCCTACTGAAATTCCAGCATAGGTCCACTGAACCCGCATTCTTTCTTAGTGGCAAGATTGCCACGGAACAAGACACTGACATACACTGACCAAGATGTCAAGACCTATCTGCCAAACGCTCGTGATTCAATATGAGATCGTGAATACCTGACCCTTTGAACAAGACTCCTGGGCAGTCGTCGGCAAAGTTCGGCGCACGCACTTTCGGACACCTCATCCCGCCGTCCTCGATAAAAAGTGGCACGTACTTTCCATAAAGGAGGCAACTTGTTGGCCCCTTGCTGCTCCGCATCTGTACTTCTCAGTTCTACCTGGCCTGGGATCATGACTATGCAGTGGCCAGCAGCATCCTAGATGCTTCATTTCATGTCAAGTTCAAGCGATCACACAGATCACCAAAGAAGTTGAATGTGAGACCTGTGTCATGATTCAAACACGAGGTTGCGCAGGCACTGCATGGCATCGGCACAAAGGGGGGCAGCTGCTTCCGCAACTGGCACAGCATTCCCACTGTATGATGCCATGCTAGGTGTGATGACCTAGCTGCTTTCAGGCGAGGTTTATCCTCAAAACCCACCCTACGCCCCTAGATCCGAAACCCTAAACCCCTAAACCCATAGACCCCTAAACCAATAAACCCTGAACCCCGAAACCCTAAACTCCTAACCCCCTAAACCCTCCTTGCAAGTTGGCCGTCCTCTCTCTCTTTGCCCACGCCGCCCAATGAGGCGCAGGGGGTGCCAGGCCCAGTGCCGTCAGAGCAAACCACGCAACAGCCCATCGGCCTGAATGTGGTAATGATAAGTACTAATTAGTAATAATAAAGTTCATAACAGTAATAGTCGTCTAAACAACAGTTTCAGAGCAATAAGAATACTTATGACAATTAAGGCACTAATCCCTAAACCCCTGAACACTAAAAAAGGTTGATCTGCAAATATCTTGATTGTTGATTGCTCACTTGGAACACGTTTTCCAAGGCCTTCAACGGGTCCCTGACCGTTATGCCTGAGCTTACCTTTGCCCATGAAGAATGGGGTGATATAAGAAATATAGGGTTTAGGGGTATATAAGGTACAATATAGGATTATGTAGGGTTTAGGCTGAATTATAGGGTTTAGGCTTCAGGGGTATATCTGTATATAAGGAGACATAAGGATAATGGACAAGAAAATGGAAACTACAGGAATTACAGGGTTATGTAGGGTTGTGGGCTCAGGGTAATATAGGGATAATGGAAAGGAAGCGTAAACTAGTATAATGGGGTTTAGGGCTTAGGGTTTGGAGTAATATTCGGCATAATGGAAAACAAAATGGAAACTAACGACTGGCGTTGGCCGGCAAACCGCTGCTTAGTACTACTACTATGTTATCAAAGGATGTAGGAGTATATTACAACCTTGTGCTACCTTCTCTGATGAGGCGACTACTTCGAGCTCACATGTGATCTGGCCTCAATTCGAGGATGTGCTTGCACTTTGGGCACACGCTGTAGGAAAAGGCAGCGGTGAGCTTGATGTTGTCCTTACTATGACTGTTACCATTACTATTACCATTGATTAAACCCTAAACCCTAAATCCTAATTAGACAAATCCACGGGGAACTCTTGCAAATGCAACGGCTCTCGAGAAAGCTGTGTTCCATGGGGCCCAGCCTTCTCAACAAAACTAGAATTCACAGCATGTCAAACACCTCCTCAAACTATGAAAAGAAAGAGGCATCGGGAAAATGCACTGGCGAGTTGCTAGACGTCCAAGGAAGCATGAACATTTTAGTCTACTGCTGAGGGTTGCAAATGGCTCCTTTTGCATCTTGACACTTTTACTGGTCTTGCAGGAACCTACCCTAATCTAACCCCAATATCACCCTAATATAACCCCCTACTAGAACCAATATAACCCTAGTATAGCCCCAATATAACCCTAACATACCCTAACATAACCCTAACATGGACTCTGAAGGCCGAACCCTCAGTTCGCTTGCAGGCCTACTGGGTATCGGCGGGCAAATCGCAAAGCTGTGATGAAATCGCTGGCATGCAGCTAGCGCGGCACCAGCGCCCAAACCCCTCTGCAATACTGCTGTCGTAACTGTGGGAAGGCACTAGGGTTCAGGGTTTAGGGTTTACCCTAAACCCTAAACAGTAACTGCAAGTTTCGAAGCTCTCAACGGCTGCACGGCAAAGTAGCTTCGGCTTCAAGCTTCTTGAAACCCCTCTGCAAACTCATAAGCACATAGAACCATCAGCTTGGGTATTTTTTGAAGGTTGTCTTAAGTGCCTAGCGCCCATGGCTACTTGGAGGGTCATGGGGACTTGGTAAGTGGATTAAAAATGGGGATAATTGGAGTTTTTACATGGCTTATAGTGTTATTAACCTACTTACTAAGTCCCTATGACCCTCCAAGTATCGCTAATCTAGCGCCAACCTGGGGAGTTTCATGATCCACGTGTGGCCCCGCCACATACCGATGCCTAGACCCTTAAGTAATAGTAAGTACTTAGGCTTAAATAAAGGGTAGTTGGAGGGTCTGGGTCCCTGGACTTAAATACTGGAGTATTCGGGTCCAAATACTATAATTCGAATGGTATCTGGGACCCAAAGTATTTGGGTCCTTGGATCTTCTTAGGGATATCTTCTTTCTCTAACGGCTCTTTTTGACATCCTCCCATATGGAGGCTTCACAAAATTAGATCCCGTTTTGAAAGGATCCTTGTAATTGGGATTGCAGCATAGTGTATGTGTGTGATGGGTACTTAATTTTCAAAGTACATGGCTCCTGTGCAATCTGTCAGATTGTGCTTGCAAGGTTCGGGGGAAGTGACGTTCAAGCCCTTAGCCTTTTCAGCTGCCAGCACGCCATCGAAGGCGCTCAGCACCGCGCGCATGTAGTCTTGGCCTGTGCTAGTGGCATTCCCTGTTGCAAAGATCAGTGTCACCTTGAATCAACATCAACCTACGAGCATCAGAGCAAGCTTACTGCGACAAACAAGCAAACAAGGAGTGAACCGAATCGGCTAGGCTCTTCCCTACTGTTTCGGAGCAACCATGGCTTCAAAGCAGTCCGCACCACATACTCGCCTGCAGTTTTCGTGAATTTCAAGTCCGGCTCATTTGTCAGGACCTCGGAATTGCAGCCGCAAGCAAAAAAGTCCAAACCCGGGCGTGGCAAGAAGGATGTGCTGTTTTCCGCCCCAAAACTGAAATAAACCTTTGAACCCTAAACCCCTAGCAGAAGCAGCATTGGTTGTGAAAGCCAAGGCACCAAGGTGTCCAAGGCAGGGTGGTACTTCCCGTTCGCCAGAAAGCCTTTGCCCTCCAAGGTGGACGTGTACGACTCTTGGATTGCTTCATAGCAGTCCAAATCCTTAGCGCGAACAAAGCAGCAAAGAAAGGCCATACACAGCCGGTCTGCCCCAAGGCGTGTAGGCCTTGTAGGGATCACACAAGGATTAGGCTGGAAATACCCTTACCCTTATTCATCTAGTTGCCCTGACAGAACCAATGGGCTCGGGAGATCAGGTTGCCGACAAGCGTCGGTGGTCCAGCAGCTCCCAGGCCCATGTTCGTATGGGTAATCTGATATACCAGCCACAATCTTCAGGCCCCAGCTGTTTGAGTAGTTCAGAAACTTTGTTCCGTCGAAGCGAGGGTCATTCCCGTACAAACGAACCATTCGAGCACCCATTTGCGCCATGATTCCAATGTCCTCAGAGGCCAACCACTTTTGACTGGCGAGGAGACAAGAATGGTATGAGCATTAAGCTGGTGATGCCAAGCTACTACAACTCCCAGTGCTGCAGGATCAGGTGTGGCGCTTCGGACCAAGCAACGGCTTAGCTATGATCACCTGCTTCTCTTGATTTCGCTAGCCTATCCTGACTATGCTTTGCTGGCTAAAGTTGATCTTAGGATCATTTCGACCACCGAGGCCCCACTGGCTCTGCATGGCCTCTGTCATCATATCGTCATTCGGAAATGAACCTGCAAGCTGGTGACAGACTACGAGAATGTAGGCACTCTAGTCAACTCTGCCTGGTTTTCGTGTGGGCAAAGGCCCATAGCTGAATCCCCAGCCACCAGTTTCCGAAATGGGCTTTGATGGAGCATCTGCAGCACGAGGTGCCTGCTTGACCTAGCCAAAGTGGATCTGCATGCAAGCTCCAAAAATCCAGTCTGGTATCACACTGGAGTCTCAAAACCCTAAACGGCAGCGTGATGCGGGCATGAGTTGTCTTTGCAGCTGGGTTGCACAGGCTTCGCCCTCACCTGGGCCACAGAATCATGATTAATATCTTACTGTATTATTAGAACTTGAAGCTAGCAAGTTCATTCTTACTACTATTCCTCCTATGATAATCATGGTATGATAATCATGGTTATGAACTGTGGCAACGCTCGCGGTCTCCGTGGTCTGGTCTTCCTCATGATTCGTATTGCACCTGGCTTGCCGGCCACCTAAGCCTACATCAAGATCCAAGACGCATGCCGGAATGAAGGCGATGTTTTCGGCAAAAGCTGTCAGCCCGATCAAAGCAGCCACATGGGCAAATCGGCACATTCGCACCATGGCATGGAACTTCGTCGGGGGTGTTTAATCGGCTTGTGATCCATGCGCCTGTATGTTCTCCTGAAGAGAACTCTGATCCCTTGCACAAACCCTCTTGCTGCTGCACTCCAGTGACATTTGATGCGCACCAGTCTTGCGAATGCTCCTGCTTTATGCATGAGCTTACCAGCAATTGGGCAAACAACTTGCGGACTTGCGCACGCGAACTTCGCACCAATGTGTGATGCAGTTTATGAAAATGTGCGTGGAAAGTCGCGCAAACCAGCTTCCACAAGCACACCGCTACAAACTAAACCGAAATCATTGGAAGTGAAATTGCATGCCGTGAGCAAGTAAGATGTGCCTCAGAAAAAGCCGTGGCCAAATCGACATGTGCCCATGTGATTCCCCAATGATTGTCTTCATGCTTGGTGCTGCTCATGCTTACGAGAACCATTTCCTAAGAACTGAGGCCCGTACTGTGCTGGACGACCTGGTAAGGTTGCAGTAAGATGTGGGGAGTCAGGGAGAAGAGGCAGCACTGATGCCAATGTCTTTAGGCAGCATGTCTGCTGTCAAGAATGGCAAGTCGGTGGCGAGATGTGGAGGATCACATCAAATCAGGAGCGCGACATAGATCCCAAGAAAATACATGAATACACATTGAACGGGCTTGTTATGGTCGGATACACCCATGTGGCAATTGGCATGTGTTTTTTGCAGAGTTCTGCTGAACAGTCAAGGCTGGTACCGGAAGCTCATACGGGTGCAGTGCGGCCGCCACTTCTTGCCTGGGCCAATTGTCTTCGCTGTTGGGGCATTTGCTAGTAATAATGATGATAGTAATAATAGAAATAAGAATACTCGCAATATTAATAATACAGCTCTCCAGCTACAAGCTGTTGAATTGTGATTTCTCCTGCGCTGCCCGCCAAAATTGGCAACCTCTGGAAGTAGAGTTTGTTTAGGGGGAACACTCCTGCCCCACAATTCGCAAAGCTCTGGGCCGCTGGCGTACCGGCAGTCGTGAGCACAATGAAAGGGTCGTCAAGGCCTTTCACAAATCATAGCCGCGGAAATGCACGGCACGGCCCTTCGTGCCCTAAACCTTAATCCCTAAACCTTAATCCCTAAATCCTAACCCCTAAACCTTAATCCCTAAACCTAACCCCTAACCTTAATCCCTAAATCCTAACCCCTAAAACCTAAACCAGAAAGCGTGAGCACAGCACTGGCTGACCCCTGCAGGTTAACCAGTCACATACAGCTTCAGAGCCAGAACCACTGTATACAAGGGCTTTACAAGCGTAACCTAAAGCTAATATACGTTTGTATAGGGGTTATATAGGGCCGTGTAGGACGAACGCAAAGAAAATGGAAGCTACGAACCTACTTAGGACTTAAAGGGTTATATAGGGATATATTAGCCAAATAACAATTTGGGGGATGCCTAAAATAGGGATTATAGTGTATTGGCGTCTATAATTATTTGGGTCTCCTGATTTAGGGAAACTCCCGCGTCACAAAATGAAGCAGTGATTCCTTGATGTACACCTCTGGTCTGGCCCGTGCAAGTGGACCCTGAAAGAGATCTCATACGAGCCGACATGACAAGCAAACATGCGGAAACGCCTCCCAAGCTCTTCCAAGCCAGCTGCACATCGTCGGCACCTGGCAGAACTAGGCAATGACAAGAATAAGCGCCGTGCCAGGATCATAGTAATTCGCGGCCGTTATTCTTACTATTCCTACTATTATTATGACTACTATCATTATTATGATTACTACTACTACTACTACTACTACTACTACTACTGGCGGGGAAAAAACCCCCCAAGAAACAGAGACAC